TACGCCTGAGACCAAACCTGGATTGAGGTGGGGGAACCAACTCCGAAGAAGGCAAATGTCGTTCTCTCTGCAGGAAAAGTGGTGGCGACAGTTTTTTGGGATAGCCGTGGAATAATTCTTATCGATTACCTTGCAAAGGGTGAAACAATCAACGGACAGTACTACGCTGCATTGCTGGATAAATTGAAGGCCACAATTAAGGAAAAACGTCCGCATTTAGTCAAGAAAAAAATCCTGTTTCACCAGGATAACACTCGGGTTCACACGTGCATGGTCGCAATGTCAAAATTGAACGAATTGAAGTTTGAATTGCTTCCGCACCCACCCTATTCGCCAGATCTAGCTCCCAGCGACTTTTTCCTGTTTCCTAATTTGAAAAAATTTCTCGGGGGAAAAAAATATAAGTCAAATGCTGAGGTGGAAAACGCTGTAAACCAGTATTTTTCAGGTTTAGACAATTAATTTTTTTCTGACGGTTTAAAAGGATGGGAGAAACGTTGAACTAAATGTATCGAGTTGCAGGGAGATTACGTCGAGAAATAAATTTTGTTTTGCTTTGAAATATGTTTTTCTTAAAAAGGCCGGAAACTTTTCAAATGGCCCTCGTATATACTGAACTTAATTTACTCCAACACGCACTTCCATAGATTACAATACTAAGGCCCGGTGGCATCAACGTCGCTTAACTTTAACTTTAGCTTATTTCATTCTTCGTCTCTTTCTAACCGTTTCTCTTAGAAAGAGACAAAGAGTGATTAAACTTAACAGTAAAGAAAGGTACAAAATATTTTACTTACCGTTCTTTGCTATAATATTCGCTGGGTACATACGTCCATCGCTACATTTGACTTTTCTCACTCCCTTTTTCATAGTAATATTTGTAGAATTGCACACGTAATGGACGTCATCAAAAAATTTCTCTAACGCAAACATGTTTCAACATTGATCAAAGTCGATATAATATGAAAAATTGAAGAACATTTCTTCTGCAAAAACAGGAGGCAGAATCAGAATAATCCAGAAAAGCATTCAGCACGTTCTAGTCGGTAGCGTTGCTAGTGGGAGGTAAAAACCAAGGTTGAGAAGTAACGCGTTACTTGTGACGTCGTTACCGTTACAATTATTTTTTTGGCAACGAATGGGTAACGACATTACATTTTTTATTTGTAACTTACAGACATATTTAATATTAAAAACATAATACTAAAAACTGTATTATGTCATGCAATGAGACAAATTTGGAACGCCTCCACACATATTTAATCGCATAAACGCATGTCATAATTGTGTGAGAAGCTATAGAGATATGCGAGTTTTATACAGGTGCTATACGTTATGTAAGCACTTGGCAATATAGGGAAGCGCAATATTGAAGTAACTTTAAAATTATTTATACAGGGTGTCGGATTCGATTTGGGCCACTCCAAAGATTATAGTAGATTGGGTCAAACTGAGAAGAAAAGTTATATACCATTTTACAAAATCCGTAATTATTATCGCGTAATTAAGAAAAACGTCTGAGCCAATAAGTGCACGGAGGAGCTGAAGGCCGGACTCGACAGACATGCAAAATGGTGTATTATTCTCCTACCACCAGAAAAACTTTTTCGGCGCGGTGTCATATGTCGCGCGTTTGCTCGCTACGCGCCGTTCGCCCGCTCACCGCTCCCCGCTCGCCGCCGTCTCTCATCGATCGATGCGTGACTCCACCTCTCGCTATCGGATCTTGAGAGATGTCAACAGATACACCATTTTGCATGTCTGCCGAGTCCGGCCTTCCACTCCTCCGTGCACTTATTGGCTCAGACGTTTTTCTTAATTACGCGATAATAATTACGGATTTTGCAAAATGGTATATACAGGGTGCTACGCAAGACTTTGACTTCCGGTCATGGGAAGGTAGAGGGGACTAAGACAAACAGAAAAGTATTGTACTATTTTACGCTTGGACGAATAGTTATCGAGATACGAAATTTTAAAAATCGCCGTATTAGCCCAACCTACTGACGAATGTAAGCGCGCGGCGAGATGCGTCGGCATAGCGGCCCCG